GATTTAAGAACTTTATTAATTATTCAGTTTAAAATTTTAAAAAATGAAAGGAAATCTTGTCAAAATTCATTCGTCGATATTTTTCTTCAGATAATATTGTCTTTAATATATATTATTCATAAAAGCAATTAAAAGCTTCTCTATTTAAATAATATCTTTTATTGCGTTTTTTTCTTTTGATATTTCGATTTCGAACAGATTTCGGTAAGACCCAGTCCTATTTAAAAAAAACAAAAAAAAAATCGCTGATTTATTCTTCAAAGAATCATTATTTTAACTAATATAATCACTAAAAATGATCTCGATTAATTTCTCAAGTTTTCATAAAATTAATTATGGGGTGGAACATTAAAATCTGACAATTATTTTTTTTTTTTTTTCAAGAACTTCCAAATTAATGTCTGCCAAAATTTGATATGCTAAAAGTTATTACAATCGCTGACGCAAGAAAAATAATTTCTTTTTTAATAAAAAAGGGGTAAAAAATTAATTAAATAATAAAAAAAATACTTTGATCCATACTCTTAATAATAAAATAAGGATGTTGATGATAAAACTACTTTTTCATTACGTTTCGAGCGTGTTTTCATCAGGGTATGCTGATTATTTTGCGTTTTCCTGGAGTTACCCAAACATAACTGTTTTAATATAAACCGCGAATATGTATTTGTTCTTGCGCTTTGTATTGGGTGAATTTAATACATAAAAAGAAACTGTTCCATGCATTTCCTAACAGTATAAATAGTGACTGGTTCATGCCTTTCCTAATAATGTAAAAACTGGCTGGTCCATGCTTTTCCTAATAGTATAAAAACAGACTGTTTCATCCCTTTCCTAATAGTATTATAAGAGTATTTTACCTGCTTTCCCTAATAGTATAAAAAGCGAATGTCTCACATATTTCTAAATATAAGGCAAGCTGTTTCATGCCTTTCCTCATAGTGTAAAACTGACAGGTCTATGCCTTTATTAATAGTATAAACAACGACTGTTACATATTTACCTAATAATATAAAAAGCAATTGGTTCATGCACTTCCACATGCTTTTCTTAATGGTACAAAAAGAGACGGTGCCATATCATTCCTAATAGTATTAAAAGAGTCTTGTACACGCCTTTTCTAATAATGAAAAATCACATTGGTTCATACTTTTCCTAGTACTATAAAAAGAGTATTGTTCATGCTTTTCCAGCCAGGTTCCCATTTTTTCTGGTCAGGAGATTGGATGTTTTGAGGCGCGTGGAACCACCTCTTAATTCCTGCTGTTCCCAGGTCTATCCGGATCAGTGGTGGTGGCATCTGCTAGAGAGTCACAGCTATTGGCAAATAGTTAACACCCAAACAAAACTGAACAGTACAAAATTACTGTTATGGGGTCCACCCCTTTTTCATATAAGTGGACTCAACCAGAGTGTTACTTGGACTGCTCCCGTTAAATACCCAGAGTCAGTATACAGAGTTGGACAGAGTGGGATTGAGATTGTGATTGAGTTGGAGGTAGAGTAATAGTGTGAGTTAACCACTTATAGAAATTACAGCTACAAGCACGTAGAATCTAAGGAAGTCCTACTTCGAGACTGTATATATATATATATATATATATATTATTATTGCTACTAACCGCGTTCCTGGATTTACTAACAGTATTACCAATTGTATTATTGTGTAAATACATTTATTTGTTATATTTTATTCCTGCGTTTGTCATTCATTGGAGACCGAATTTAATCTCGGAATCCACAACAATTATCAACAATAATTTTGAGATACACAATATATGTAAAAAAAAAAAACAAAAAAAAAACAACATACCGTTGCTCGGAAAGTATAAAAATATGTGCAACATATCTGTAGTTGAAAGCATAAAATTGCGCTCAAAATATATAGCTTTTGGCATTAGGAAATGAGTAGAGATATTGATATGCCGCCAAACAAAATCAAACATCAAAAACTATTACCCACCCTAGAAATTTCAGATGCCTCTTCTTCATGTTAAATATAGATTTCTCTTTTTCCCCTTTTTGTTCCCATTTTCTGTAAAATTCCGTTGTTGCTATTCGTATTCTCAGTATCCTTCTGCGGAACCACATATCTGTTGCTTCAAGTCTCTTCTTCTGTGAGCAGATTGTGTAGCATTCACTGCCATAGAGGAGGACAAATATCACAAAAATGTTCAGTTTAATGAATGTCTAACCCAATGCATGCATGCAGAGGCGGAAAATTTTAGATTTTATATTTTACAGAATACATGTTAAGTCTTAATATTTTAACTCCACTATAAACTAGGACATACACAAATTACACACGCGCATATATATATATATATATATATATATATATATATATATATATACGTGACAAAATATATTCTTAAGATGTGCTATATTTATGGGATAAAATGCTCAATATCAGAGATAGAAAGTGTGTAAATATATTTGAAAGAGAACAAAAAGACAAAACTTTGGAGGCGATTTTGTTTCATTCATAATAGATCAATCGCCAGGCCTGGCGATTGCATCTAGAAAAAAATATTTAATAATATGACATTGGGTGTTTATTTTTTCGCAATTGTTCAGCCAATTCGAGACATTTAAACGTTCTTTTATAGGACTTATTTTAAGTGGTCGAATTTTTTATGCAAGATTCTCAGTTACAAATGTCAGGATTCCAAATATATGGAATAATAATAAAAAAAAAAGAATATTAAAACGTGTGTCTAATGATTTTAAATTTTTAATCTTTTTTTTTTCTTATTATTTCAAAATATATATATATATATATATATATATATATATATATATATATATATATATATATATATATATATATATCAATATATGTATATATATATATATATATATATATATATATATATAAATATATTAATATATATATATATATATATGTATATATTTCAAATATATATGAAACATTAATTTGTATATGTATATATAAATATATATATATATATATATATATATATGTATATATATATATATATATATATATATATATATATACGTTATATATATAGGTGTATATATATAGTATATGTATATTAAATATATATATATGTATATATATATGTATAAATATATTATATATATATATATATATAGACATTACATATATATATATAAATATATGCATATGACATCATATATATACCTGATATTTTTATGCGTATATATATATATATATCAGAAATATATATTTTTATATATATATATTTCATATATATATATATATATATATGTTTATATATAAAATATATATATATATTTATATATTATATATATATATGTGTATATATATATATATATTTATATATTTATATATATTTAATATATAAATATATATATTTATATATATATATATAAATATATATATCATATATATATATATATATTTATATATATAAAATCATTTGATTTTTCCTAATATCGGAGAAACGGAGAATCGAACAGAATGTTTTGTACCACGGGCCTCGGTGACGAAGAAGAAACTGACTACACACGATTTAGCGCCACCTTTCACTCAGTTCCTTAATAATACCCGTCCAAGTATACGAATAGTCACGGAACAATGCTCCAAGAGGCACGTTTTCTGTTCTCCCTTAGCCGCTCCTCACGAGCATTAGGTGGGTCTTGGGGTATTGCGGGAAGCTCGACTGGAACCAATGGAATACGCAGGGAATGAGAAAATTTTAGCTACTTTAAAATTTTTTTGGCATGGCTAGTCTTGGCAAGAAGTGAGAGAGAAGAAACTTTCAGCATAGAACCTACGGTTGCATGTAGCCTGTTCAACTGTAAAATAAGACCAAGCCGACAATATAATACTACTCATAAATTTATAAAATCTAGAAAGCAAAGAGGAATGCCCATCAGAAGATGTTTTTCATTTTGTTTTTGTTTTTTTTTTGTTTTTGGGTGGTTGGTGGGGGTTGTTTTCTTGTTTTTTTTTAATTTTTTCGAAAAAGCAGTTTCGATAAAAAATAAACTACACCACGGAGCTACATTACTGCGATGAGAAAGTGACTGAAACCGAGATGCCAGGTCAGAACCAATAACATTGCGGATTCTTATTTCGATAGACTGAAATTGGATAACTATTAATGTTATGATCATATTGATTTGCATATACTATTTGAATGCACTAAATAAACCCACGCATATTTATTTCGTTATACAAAAATATTCGATTTCTCTATTTTATTCTTTCTCGTTTTAGATGTCTGTGTGTCGGGTGTATATACCTTTGGCTCAGCCATTCAAACAATGGATTTTCGAGGCCCTAAATTAACGGATAATATACAACCAAATGTCGATTATTCTCTTGGCTCTAATTGCATATATGCTAATAATGCTTCCTCTTATTTCTCCTTCCGTATGGAAAGATTTTATACATCGAAATGGATATTTGATCGTTCGGCTCATATTCATTACAGTAATTAAAACATGAGTAAGATGAATCAATTACCGCCTTGGAAATCGGAATCATACAAGAACATTTATAGCTTTTTTTTTCCCTCAAAATGTTGGTAAATTAATCTCAAGGTCAAGTTTAATGTAGATAATCCACGCATATACGGGTGGTTAAAGCAAAACATGCCATGGTCTAACGGATTATGCAGAAAGTTCCAGACATTAAATATGACCATAACCCATTAGGGTGATAAAGAAGAATCCTCAGAGACCATATACGCTTCATTAGTGTCGATCCAGCTCAATGATAGGCATTCAGTTTTTTAATATGAGAGTATCTATCTATCTATCTATCTATCTATCTATCTATCTATCTATCTCAAACTATTAATATCATTATCAGTCTGATCAGATCTATCTATCTATATCCTTTTTTTCTTTTGTTATTTTTTTTTTTTTTTTCCCTATCTATTTATATCCGTTTTCTTTCTTTTTAATTCCTATCAATTTATATACTTTTTCTTTCTTTTTTCTCCCTATCAATTTATATATATATTTTTCTTTCTTTTTTCTCCATGATATCAATTTATATACTATTTTATTTTTTTTTCCCTATCTATCTATCTATCTATCTATCTATCTATCTATCTATCTATTTTTCTTTGTTTAGAATTTTTTTCTTTTTTTCTCTATATTTATATCCTTTTATATTTGTTTATATATTTCTTTATTTTGTATATATCTATATATATCCTTTTATATTTATTTATTTTATTTCCTTTTTTTTTTTTTATTTATCTACCTATATCCTTTTTTATTTGTTTATTTTTTTCATTTCTATCTATCTATATATCTATCTATCTATCTATCTATCTATCTATCTCAAACTATTAATATCATTATCAGTCTGATCAGATCTATCTATCTATATCCTTTTTTAATTTTTATTTTCTTTTTTTTTATATATATCTATTTATATCCGTTTTCTTTATTTATATATATATCAATTTATATATTTTTCTTATATTTTTCTATATATCAATTTATATATTTTTCTTTCTTTAATTCTATATATCTATATATCTATCTATCTATCTATCTATCTATCTATCTATCTATCTATTTTTTTGTTTTTTTTTTTTTCATTTTTTCTCTATCTATTATATATCTTTTTATATTTGTTTATATTTATTTCTTTTATTATATATATCTGTATATATATATATTTTTATATTCTTTATTTTTTTTCCTTTTTATATTTTTATCCTTATATACCTATATCCTTTTTATTTGTTTATTTTTTCATTTTTATCTATCTATCTATCTATCTATCTATTATCTATCTATCTATTAATATCATTATCAGTCTGATCAATCTATCTATCTATATCCTTTTTTTCTTTGTTATTTTTGTTTTCTTTTTCTCCCTATCTATTTATATCCGTTTTCTTTCTTTTTTCTCCCTATCAATTTATATACTTTTTCTTTCTTTTTTCTCCCTATCAATTTATATACTTTTTCTTTCTTTTTTCTCCCTATCTATCTATCTATCTATCTATCTATCTATCTATCTATTCATCATTCTATATATCTATCTATCTTCTTTTTTTTCTTTGTTTAGTTAAAGAAATTTTGTTTTTCTCTCTATCTATTTATATCCTTTTATATTTGTTTATGTTTTTTTCTTTTGTCTCCCTATCTGTCTAAATCCTTTTCGGTTCTTTATTTTTTCTTTCCTTTTTTATCCTTTTTTATCCATATCTACCTATATCCTTTTATTTGTTTATTTTTTCATTTCTATCTATCTATGATCTATCTATCTATATATCTATCTGAAACATTAATAAATCATTATCAGTGTTATCAAAAATATCTATCTATATTTTATTTTTTCTTTTGTTATTTTTTTTGAAAAAATTTTTTTCTCCCTATCTATTTATATCCGTTTTCTTCATTTTTTCCCTAAATCAACGGATAATATACTTTTCTTTCTTTTTTTCTCTTATCAATTTATATACTTTATCTTTCTTTTTTCCTTCCTATCTATCTATTTTTATCTCATCTATCTATCTATCTATCTATCTATCTATCTATCTATCTATCTCAACATTAAGGTAATTAAAACATTTTTTCTTTGTACAAGAACATTTTTTCTTTTTTTTTCTCTCTATCTATTTATAAATTTTTATATTTGTTTATGTTTCTTTCTTTTGTCTCCCTATCTGTTCTATATCCTTTTCGTTCTTTATTTTCTTTCCTTTTATCCTTTTTATCCTTAGAGACCTATATCCTTTTTTATTTGTTTATTTTTCAGTTTTTAATATATCTATCTATCTATCTATCTATCTATCTATCTATCTATCTATCTATCTCAAACTATTAATATCATTATCAGTCTGATCAGATCTATCTATCTATATCCTTTTTTCTTTGTTATTTTTTCTTTCTTTTTTCTCCCTATCTATTTATATCCGTTTTCTTTCTTTTTTCTCCCTATCAATTTATATACTTTTTCTTTCTTTTTTCTCCCTATCAATTTATATACTTTTTCTTTCTTTTTTCTCCCTATCTATCTATCTATCTATCTATCTATCTATCTATCTATCTATCTATCTTCTTTTTTCTTTGTTTAGTTTTTCTTTCTTTTTCTCTCTATCTATTTATATCTTTTTATATTTGTTTATGTTTCTTTCTTTTGTCTCCCTATCTGTCTATATCCTTTTTCGTTCTTTATTTTTCTTTCCTTTTTTATCCTTTTTTTATCCTTATCTACCTATATCCTTTTTATTTGTTTATTTTTTTCATTTCTATCTATCTATCTATCTATCTATCTATCTATCTATCTATCTATCTATCTATCTCAAACTATTAATATCATTCTCAGTCTGATGCGATCTATCTATATCGTTTTTTCTTTGCTTATTTTTCTTTCTTTTTTCTCCCTATCTATTTATATCCTTTTTTTTCTTTATTTTTCTTTTTTTCTCCTTTTTATCCTATTTATATCCTTTTTTCTTTCTTTATTTTTCTTTCCTTTTTTATCCTTTTTTTATCCTTATCTACCTATGTCCTTTTTCTTTTGTTTATTTTCTCTTTCATTTCTCTCTCTCTCTCTCTCTCTATCTATCTATCTATCTATCTTAAACTATTAATATCATTCTCAGTCTGATCAGATCTATCTATCTATCTATATACTTTTTTCTTTGTTTATTTTTCTTTCTTTTTTCTCCCTATCTATTTATATCCTTTTTTCTTTCTTTTTTCTCCCTATCTATTTATATCCTTTTTTTTCTTTATTTTTCTTTCCTTTTTTATCCTTTTTTTTATCCTTATCTACCTATATCATTTTTATTTGTTTATTTTTCTTTCATTTCTTCTCTCTCTCTCTCTCTATCTCTTCTCTCTATCTATTTATCTATCTATCTATCTATCTATGTATCTGTCTATCTATCTCAAACTATTAATATCATTCTCAGTCTGATCAGATCTATCTATCTATATCCTTTTTTGTTTATTTTTCTTTGTTTTTTCTCCCTATCAATTTATATACTTTTTCTTTGTTTTTTCTCCCTATCTATCTATCTATCTATCTATCTATCTATCTATCTATCTATCTATCTATCTATCTTCTTTTTTCTTTGTTTAGTTTTTCTTTCTTTTTCTCTCTATCTATTTATATCTTTTTATATTTGTTTATGTTTCTTTCTTTTTTCTCCCTATCTGTCTATATCCTTTTTCGTTCTTTATTTTTCTCTCCTTTTTTATCCTTATCTACCTATATCCTTTTTATTTGTTTATTTTTTCTTTCATTTGTCTCTCTCTCTCTCACTCTCTCTCTCTCTCTCTCTTTCTCTCTCTCTATCTATCTATTTTTGATGTTTTTTTTTTTACAATTATGTTCCCCTTGAACAAAGCGCAAGTGACACTCGAGGTAGAGATCTACACAGATGTACAGATTATTGGAATATGTAGTGGAAGATGACAGTTAACCCTAGACTTGAACAGGTTAAAACTGTAGTTGTCGGTGAAACCTCCAATTGGGCGTCGGTTCCACGAAGTAGCGGTTCGTGGGAAGAATTTGGTCGAATGGAACTCATATTTTAACAATAGAATATGTTAGGAATGAGTGGGTTCGCTACAATGGGCGTGTCATGTTGGGTCTTAGACGTGAAGGTTAGAATTGATAAGACTAAAGAATGTCATTCATCCGAATACTTTCTATTTAAATAACGATAGAGCAACGAGTGGCTTGAAACGTTTTGTCTACAGGAAAGGGGTTTTAGGTTGGAAAATAATTCATTACCCACAAAAACGCGAAGACGCTTGTGGATTCTATATAGATTGGAAATTGACGGCTTCGCAACTCTTTCCTATATATGACAACATTACTCTATTCCTGGTGTGGCTTTTGTAATGTTTGAGGACAGTAGAAGCGAGAGACTTATTAGAGCGATACGGTACGATACTGGCACCGTACAGTCCTGGAGCGGTCCAGTAAACTAATTCCCAGTATCTTTAGCGATGTATCATATATAGGATTTCAACTTGAGGTTTGGGCATGAGTCCCACTAGGAAAGAGCAACCGTTCATCGCGGTATGTGTCGGTCCAACATCTGATCGGTGATACTGTCACAAGACCGAAAGTATGGGGAAACCCAGAGAGAATCGAGCTTAATATTTAATGATCAACTGATCTAGCTCGAGAAGCTTGTTAACCCTTACACAACGTCGAAGATTCCGCTCTGAGATGATGGTTGATCGATTCTCCGTATAACTTTGAGGTTTTGAACATCCATCTTTATTCCAAGAGTAATTCGAACGAATGCTCCCAGATTGGTATAAACATGGCAAATTAGACTTCACTTAAAAATATCTTCCTACAACATTTTAAAATTTTCTCTCCTTTCAATAGTAGCTCATGTTCTTTCATGTGACATGTCTCTTCAGGACATTAGCAATCATGGCCCTATTCATCAGAATTTCGATGATATTGTTACTTGGCTCGTTAAGTTTGTTGTCCGATGGTGTTTGCATGAATTTTTCATAGACGGCGCACCAAAGAAGGATCTACAAAGGTTTTCTGCTATTTCAATGCTGCCGTAGTTAAACTAATTTTAAATGATGCCCCGGTCACGATACATTTTTCCGCCATTTTACACAACATAATTAAATAATTTAAGCATCGCATATCGATTATTTAACGATAATAAAAGAAAGGAGTTTGTAGACGGAGTGACATTAGCCAGTATTCGTGAAAAAAAAAGGAAAGAAAAACATTAAAAAATAAGAAAAAAAAAAATCAAAAGCCAACATTGAATATAACCGGCCATTATATCAAACATCTTTCCTACCAACAGTAATTCTGCTGATTTGTATTCCAGGCTGAAGTGAGCCTTCACCACTATAGTAACTTTCTTTTACTTTCTTTTTGTATCATGAAAACGTCAAAGTTGTTTTAGAGGAACCAATCGTGCCTTGAAATCTGGATGCTTAACATTCTACCCTCTTCTTGGCTGAATCTTTCCCCTATAGTCTAGCTACAAATAATAATTGAAATTAATTTTGAATAATTTTCTGTCAGTTTAGCTGAGCCGTTTAAATTCATTTACAGTAATTTAATAAAAGTGAATGACTTTGCGATTTCAGCTAGCATTCTGAAAGCGGCGGCCAACAGTTTTGCATGATTTGTGAGCAAATATAATCAGAAGTTATGCCACACAAGTTCTTGATGTTTCTTGAAAATTGATGACGTGTCGATTCCAAAGGTCGAAGTAAAAAAGCAAATAAAAAAAAAACGGACAACAGAAAAAAACTCTTATTTAACTGTATAACCATAATAATATATTAGTCAAGGGAATTATCTTAGTATCATATCGGCATAATTTATTTATCTGCACTCATTTGAATGAAGAGTTTAAAAATATCTATCGATTAATCCAAGTTTGTATATATGTTTATTCATCTCAATAAGTTTATACGAGATCTGCCCGGAACCTATCCGTTTATATTTTTAGATATTGGGATTCTGTTTCACGGCATTTATCTAGGTTGGCAACTAATCAAACATAGACGTGACGTTTTTGTTTTGTTTTTTGTTGTTTCAAAGGTCATATGAACAATAGACGGAATTTTCTATACTTTAAAATATTTTATAAATAAGAAAAAAAAAAGCTGTAAACTACGAATAGTTGTCGATAATCACAGAAGTACATTTTATATTAGTTATATTATTAAAACTGTTATCTTCATCTTCATTGCCATATCCACAAAGTTTCGACCGTTATACACTCCGGCCTTCTTCGGGTGATTGGAATTTTGAACCGAACCCTTTATTTCGTCCACCGGGGTAGATTGTTCTAGTTCCGCGTGCCATGCTTCTTCTGGATGTCTCAGTTATTTCCCTTTAACTCAGCTATCAAAGTTTGGTTCAACAATGCTGTGGCCTGCTATTGAACTAACAACTTTTGGGTATAGTCACTGGATCTTACCAACGTCTTTATCAACTGGGCCATATAAGCTTGAGACAAGACACATGGCCCAGTGGCTTGCTCTGCTTAGCTTTTGAAATGACTCTTTGGCCATCCCAATACGTCTTTGGATTTCAGTGTCGTATAATTCCAATATTTGACCCAGAAAATTTCATCTGCCTCTTCCTGATGTTAAGTATAAGCCTCCTTGTTTGCACCCTTACCAAAACCTCATCGTTGCTCACACGCTCGGTCCATGATATCCTTAGCATCCTTCTGTAGAAACATATGTCCGTTGTCTCGAGACTCTTCTTCATCTCTGAGAAGACCATCCAACATTCGCTGCCGTAAAGGAGGATAGATGTCATGTAGCAGCTCAATACTCTTCTTTGTCACCAAAGAAATCCTCTTGTCTCGTAATGCTCAGCCTAGCTTTTAGAACACGTCCATGGCCATCCCAATACGTCTTCGGATCTCAGCGTCGCACTTTCCGTCCTCCGTCAAAAAATTCCCAGATATTTAAACTTCTGCACATATTTCATTTTAGTGTCCCCCGACCTGCAAATCGCATTTCGTGTTTATCGTTTTACTTAAGACCATGCATTCTGTTCTCTTAAAGTTTATGCTTAGTCCTTTCTTCTTGCCCTCCTTCGTTACCTTCTGTGTGAAGTTTTGTAATTTTTTTTTCCATGGCTGCTATGAGTACTCTCTCCTTTGCGTATCTTGTATGTTGTTACGATTGTGACCACCAATGCTGAATCCTTGTAGGATTTCCAATTCTCTCGGAATTAGTACCAACTTAATCAGTGTAGCTTTAACTAAGATTACTTCCACAGGACAATGACTTAGAGAGTAAAAGCCCTGTTTTGTAAATTTGATGATATAGTGGTTGTGATTTCAATTCCTGGGCCCGGCT